TAGGACGGGCCCTCGACGAAGGGCCAGGACGCGAGCGCCTGGAGAAACACGGCCAGGGCGAAATATTATCTGGCAGCGCGGAGGCTGCGGCGGACGGCATTCCAGTTTTCGGGTCGCGCAAGAACAAGGACAATGAGGGAGGAGCTCAAGAGCGATGCCGGTTCCCTCAGTTCTCGGTCAAGACCTCGCTGCACCAGATCGAGACGATCCTCGCGCGCCAACTGCGCACGGATGGGGCCATTCGCCATGCGGGATCGGCGCTGGAGCGCGAGTTGGGCCGCCTAATCAATGGCCAGTAGCAGAGGTGCGAGACGCAGCTCAGGGCGCAGTTCACCGTGAGACGCCCCAGGCAACTTGTCACAGTGAGCGTGGGGCCGACGGCCGCGAGAAAACAGTCCAGCTCTGTCCAGTCTCGAGGGCCGACGCAGCCCGTGCGATCCCGCAGGCCTTGAGAACTAGTGGGCGTTTCAGAATGCTAGTCAGGGAAGGCCGCCTCCCCGCTCCTCCTCCGTCGACCGAGACTCCCGACTCCTACCAACTCCGAGGCCAGAGTTTCCTTGAGTATTATGTAGTGCGCCGACCTCCCCCCCCCGAACCGAAGAGAAAGGGAAGGGGGGGGGAGAACCGAGCAGGGGGGAAGAGGAACGAGCGAGAGGGCACTCGTAAACGCGGGTGCTACCCTGCTCGCGACCCCCTGCGTGGGGGAGGTCGGTGCAGGTAGGGCCCGAGCGTCGATTGGCGCCTGCGACCCCTTTTCAGCATGGACATCACAGTTAGGCCACCAGATTTTGTAAAGCAGCGCGGAGCCCAGAGCGAGCGTAGCACCGAACTGGTCCGAGAGCTCGATCGATCGATCTCCTCCTCCTCCTCCTCCTCCTCCTGTTCCTCCTCCCCCTCCGCCGCCTCCGCCTCCTCTGCATGAGCTGTTGGAGGGCCTGATTGAAAAGCAAGGAGCAAAAATGGCCCTGGGGCCCTCCAGACCGCCCCCCCCCACCCCCTCTCCCCCCGCCCCCCACCAACACGAGGCCGAAATCGAAGAACGAGCGCCAAGACCCTAGACCCTGGGCTGCTTGCGTCGCATTTTTCACATCTTGCGGTATCGCCCAATGTCGGGCCCTGGGGCCTGGGACCCTCACGGATCGATCTGGCTCGGGGAACGTCACAGCAAGATGGGGTTCAAGGGCCCCAGTTGTGATTTATTTTCGCGATTGTGTAGTTGTTGTCGCGACGCCGAATCTCCAGAGATATCGAGCAAACCACGGCGTCCGAGGCCTGGCGCGCCAGGGCTATACGGTAAGTTCGTGTCGTGTCGAGGCGGTTGCATGGGACCCCAGCGCGGGCGTCCAAGGTTGAATGCCGCAGGCGGCCCAGAATCGGACAATATGGGACGACCTGACCAGTGATCGAACAGCCGCCCGATCGCGGTGTCAGAAACCAGTGCCGGGGTCGTCACGACATAACCTACCGCGTAGCCGCTCGGCCAGCCGTCGCTGGGAAGCACGCGTCCTCCTGCGCACTTCCTCGCCGTGTGCGCGCTCGCCGATGGACGCCCCCGGGGGCGCTGGGCCCCCGCGCAGCAGGCTGCCGGCGCTGCTGCCCGGCTTCCCCCGCTGGGCGCCCCCCCGCGCCGCGCCGCCGCCCGGCGCGCGCACCGCGGGGGCCGCCGAGCCTGCTGCTCGCCCCAGGCTGGCCGAGGCGGAACCCGCGCGGCCAGCAGGGGAGGCGCCCGCCGCGGCAGGGCCGCCCGCGTGCCCGCAGCCGCCAGTCCGCCAGGGGCCGCCGGCCGCGGCCTGCGCGCAGCCGGCGCGGCCGACTGGGCCGTGCGCTACGACGCAGCCCGCGCCGCCGCCGGCCCGAGGTGCGTCCGCCGCTGGGCATCCCGGGCCGCTGCCGGGCCCTGGCCCGGCGCCGCCAGGGCCCTCCGAGGGCGGGCCGCCCGCACCTGCAGCGGCGTGCGGTGCCGCACCGCTGTGGTGCGAGTGTGTTCCGGGTGCTGCTGGGCGGCCAGAGCACGGCGCGCGCCGCTCGGTGCAGGCTGTCGACAGCAGCCCTGCGGTGCGCCCTGCGACGCTTGTGGGGCCCGAGGGCGCACCCGCGGCGCCTCTGGAGCTGGTGGGGCCCCAGAGCGCGCCCGCGGTGCCTCCTGAGCTCGTGGGGCCCCAGGGCGCACCCAATGTCAGTGCTGGCGTCGCTGGCGCGGGCAGGGCGGCGGACGCTGACAGTGGCTTTGCGATGCCAGGAGCGCCCGCGGCGCCTCCAGATCTCGTGAGGCCCCAGGGCGCACCCTGTGTCGGCTCCAGCCTCGCTTGCGCGGGCAGGATGGCCGACGCCGACGGTGGCCTTGCGGCGGTGTCAGGGGCGCCCGCGGCGCCTCTGGAGATCGTGGGGCCTCAGGGCGCGCCTAGTGTCAGCGCCTGCCTCGCTTCCAAGGGCGGAGTTGCCTGCCCGTCCTGCACGCTCATGAACCCCGCGGGGAGCGCGCAGTGCATATCCAGCTGCCTGCGGCAAGTCTGGCCACCGCGTCATCTCAGCATTCTCGGTGACGATTGTTCGAGGGGGCGCGGGAGGCCGTAATGCGTGATGTGTCGTATGGCTCAGGAGAGCCGGAAAGTGTGATACACTCTTCCGCGTCGTGTTGGTGATGGTGATGTTGATGATGCTGTTGTTGATGATGTTGTTGTTGTTGCTGTTGTTAGTGTTATTGTTGCTGTTGATGATGATACTTGTGATTGTGCGAATGCTAATTATGTTGGTGATTGTGATTATGCTGCTGATGATGATGCTGATGAACACGATGACGATGACGACGACGATGCTGACCATGATGATGGTGATGATGACGATGATGGCGATGCTGATGCTGATGATGATGACGATTGTGACGGTGGTGGCGATGATGATGTTGCTACTGCTGCTGGTGATGATGATGATGATGATGATGATGATGATGATGACGAGGGTGATGATGATGACGACGATGCTGCTGATGATGGTCATGATAATGATGATTGTTATGCTGATGTTGTTGTTGATGGTGATGAGGAGTCTGACTATTTTGATGATGAAGGAGACGACGATGATGCTGTTGCTACTGCGGAGCATGATGATGATGTTGTTGCCGATGATGATGTTGATTACATTGTGTTGTTGCTGTTGTTGCTGATGGTGGAGACGACGACGACGATAATGCTGCTGCTGCTAATGATTATGCTGCTGATGATGATGCTGATTCTGATGCTGATGCTGCTGATGTTGATTTTGATGCTGATGCTGATTCTGATGCTGATGCTGCTGCTGATGATGATGACGACGCTGCTGCTGCTGCTGATCATGATAATGCTGATGCTGACGATGATGCTGATGATAGTGCTGATGATGATGACTATGATGATGCTGCTGCTGATGATGATGATGATGATACTGTTGTTGATGATGATGCTGATGATGATGATGATGATGATGATGATGATGATGATGATGATGATGATGACCATGTTGATGTTGATGATGCTGCTCTTGCTGCTTCTGGTGATGATACTGATGATGATGGTGGTGATGATGATGATGATGATGATGATGATGATGATGATGATGATGACGAGGAGCAGGAGGAGGATGAGGAGGAGGAGAAGGAGGAGGAGGAGGAGGATGCGGATGAGGAACATGAAGAGGAAGAGGAAGGCCATCACATGTGAGACGAGGCTTGTTGGGCGCATCTTTGGGGCCTCTTTGGGGCCTCTTGGGGGGCGTCTTGGGGGCGCCTCGGAGGCTCTTGAGGGCTCCCTGGGCTCCCTGGGCCGTCTGACGGCGCTCTCGGGCTGTCTTGTGCTTTCGGAGTCCTTCTTGGGGTCCTCTCTGTGCCGTCTTGGGGCCCTCTAGGGTTTTTTGTCAGGTCCGTCTTGGGGCCGTTTTGGAGCCCTCTTGTGCAACATTGAGGCCGTCTGGCCTCTTGGGCAATCTTGAGGCTCTTCGTGACCGTCTCGGGGCCATCTTGGAGGATTCTTGGGACGTCTTGAGCTTACGGAAGCCCGAAGGTCATACTTCGAACGTTCATCAAACACATCTAGAGCAAACAATGATTTTGGCCTCTTCGGGCCCTGATGGAGTTTCTCTTGGAGCCCTCTCGGACTCTCTGGACAGCCTCTTCGGCAGTCCTGTGGCCATCCTGGGACGTCTCTGGGTCATCTTGGGCCGTCTTGGATGCATCTTGGGCCATCTCAGCGGCCTTGATGGCCTGCCTGGACCGACTTGGAAGCCACCTTGGACGCCTTGGAGAGCGCCAGGGAAGCGTCGGCCAGCCAAGGGGGCCTCGGGAAGAGGGGGCGGTGCACGCAGTTGGATGCTGCCCAGGGGGGGGTCGCCCCTCAGAAGATTTTGCAGAGCCCCTGCAAGACAGCGCTAGGCATTCTTCCACGACTCAATGTGCCACGGAGCACGGTGGCGGACTCTGTGACCAGGCGCTGGCCACCGTGCACGAGATCAGCGACGAGGAGTCGACGCCGCTGCCGAAGCGGCGCAAGCTGCCTTGGGCTGCTGAGCCCAGGGCTGTCCCCAGCCCAGCACGCGGCTACGGAACGGTGACGGCGCAGGAGGGAGCCGCAGGGTCTCCAGTGGAGGCGTACCTCTCTGCCGACGTGCCTGGCGGCGGCGCAGCTGCGCCGAGCGCTCCCGCGGAGCCACCGCTGTCAGAGAGCCAGGAGCGCCTCGTCAACAGAGTATTGGAGCTCCGGCAGAGCGTCTTCTTCACGGGTGCAGCGGGCACCGGGAAATCCAGGACCTTGCAGGAGCTCATTCGACGGTGCCCAGAGTGGAGCACTTTCGTCACGGCGCTGACCGGCATCGCCGCGACGCACTTGCCACGAGGGACGACTCTCCACAGCTTCGCTGGCGTGGGCCTCGCGAAGGGCAGCTGCGAGGATTGCCTGCAGCACGTCCAGAGGAGCCGCAAGGCGAAGAGCAACTGGGAGAGGGTGCAGGTCCTGATCGTGGACGAGGCGTCGATGATGTCGAAGGCGTTGTTCGAGAAGCTCGAGTTCGTAGCGCGGAAGATGAAGAAGAACGAGCTGCCGTTCGGGGGCGTCACGCTCGTGCTCTGCGGTGACTTCTTCCAGCTGCCGCCGGTCTCGAGGGGAGGCGCCTCCGTCGACGAGGCACGCTTCTGCTTCGAGTCCGAGGCCTGGGGGCGCTGCCTCCGAGCCGCTGCCGGAGGGCCCGAGAACACCTTCTCGCTCAACGAGGTGTTCCGGCAGAAGGACGGGCGGCTCCTGCGCCTGCTCTCGGAGGTGAGGCACAACAGCCTCACGCCGCAGGGCCTGCGGCTGCTGGAGGACCTCCGGCGGGAGCTCGGGGTGCAGGACCGGGGGGGGGGGCACCGCGGCGAGGAAGAGTCAGGAGGGACAAAACGCCCAGAACATCTGGGGAAATATGGGGATTCCTGTTATTTGTGTGTATTTATCAGTGTGTGTCCCAGGGCCCCTTCAAAGGGGGGGAGCCCACTCTCGGCCCCGCGCGGCCCCTCCCGGCCCCTGGGCGGGGCCGTCCATCGCCGACCCGGGGTGGGAGGCTGGCCCCGGGGGAGGCCTTGGGTCTGGGGCCCGCTTCCCTCGGGACCCCGCTGCCCCGCTGCCAGAGGACGGGGTGGAGCCAACCAAGCTCTACCCGGTCAACGCGAAGGTGGACGCCGTGAACCACCAGAAGTTGGCCGCCCTGGAGGGCGGACCGGGCAGGGAGGCCACGTTCGAGGCCACAGACACCCTCCCAGAGGGTTACTCGAGAGGCTCACGCCATTCCGCCGACTCCAGGAGAGGGAGCTCGAGACGGTGGTTTGGGTAGTCCAGGTGGCCAGTCGAATGAAACAGGGGGACAACCGGCGAGGGCGAAAAGGAGGGGCAGGTGGACGACGGGTGAGGGCGAAAAGGAGTGACAGGGGGGGAGGGGAGGCGGAGAAGGAAGGAGTCGTGGGGCCGAGTCAGAGCAGAGGGGTGGAGGAGAGCAGAGCGCTGGCTGTAGGAGAGGGGCACGCGTGTTCCCCCAACTAGTGACCCGAACGTTTTGTTGGTGGCCATCGGGGGGATTCGGGGCGTCTTGGAGAGTCTCGAGGGGCGCCTCGGGCCATCTTGGGTCGGTCCAGGAGCCGTCTTGGAGGACAGAGGAAGGTTTCTGGGACCGTATTGGGGCCACATCGGAACTGCTCGGGTGCCTCTCGGACCGTCTGGGTGGCTCTTGCGTCTCTTGGGCTCTCTCGGAGCCTCTTGGACCCATCTTGGAGCCATCAGGAGCAACCGGTGTCGAGCCAGTTTTGCCCTTTGGAGACCCTCGGAGGTACCATCTGCTCTTCTGGGCCGCGCTGATGTCATTTGGGATCTATCTTCACTCGTTTGCAGAATTTCCAGGGTCCGCTGAGCAAGGTGCCTCCGAGCAATTCGAGAAGGATGTCATTGGCCACAGTGTTAGGGTGATCTTGGGGCCACTTGGTCGAAACCGATTGCCCTAGCCAGCCCAACCAGCCAGCCCAACCAGCCAGCCCAACCCACCCACCCAGCCCAGCCACCCAACTAGTCCAACCAACCCAACCAGCCCAACCAGCCACCCAGCCAACCCGCCCAATCCCCCCGCCTGGGGACGTGTTTCTTACCAGCGAAATCCAGCAACATCACCCTCCTGAGGTCCGGCGGGACAGCGGGGAACGGGCAAATCGCACCGCATTGTGGAGGGCCGGGATTCGCGCCCAGTAACCCCTAGGACGGTTTTGGGCCTGAAGTGCGGCACTGTCGTCATTTTTTAAACCTTCACCGCCCCCCCTTTCCAAACGGAAAGGCTCCAATCCGTGAAATTGTCGTCTCTTCTCGGCCCCGGGCCCCAGGAGGCCCCAGGAGGCCCCATGCGGCCGCAGGAGACCCCAGGAGGCCCCAGGAGATCCCAGGAGACCGCATGAGGATTTCTCACGCGGGGTCCCAGGAGTCCCCAGGAATTTTCAGTAGGTCGCAGAAGGCCACAGGAGGCCCTATGAGGCCCCAGGGGGCCCCACGTGACAACAAGTAGGAGGAGGAGGAGGAGGAGGAGGAGGAGGAGGAGGAGGAGGCGAACGGATCGGGAGTTTGACGAATGCCAACAGATCATACAGAAGTCGGCATGAGAGCACAGAGTAGACAGCGGAATGGAGGGGAAACAAAATCCACAAGCCAGGCAATGATGATACGTATGGGTTGATGAGACACGTGAAACGTGGACGGAAACAATACGATGACGCAGCCAAGATACATAACGGGTGTGATAAGGTGACAAGAGGCGGCGAGCCAAGAGGGTGACAGCATGACGCCCCAACAAGTAGACTTCACCCAATTGATTTCTACCCCCGTGAGGGGCGTTACATGGTATGATAGCTGGAAAACTTTGTGACCATCTTGGGGCCAACTAGGGCCACTCTTGGTGTGTCTTGCGGGAGTTCGGGGCAAGTTTGCCGCGTCTTAGGGATGTCTGGGGCGTCCTGGGGCTGCGTTGGTGTGATTTTGACGTGCCTTGAAGTCACCATCTGTACACACACACACACACATATATATATATATATATATATATATAGGACCCCTTTTTCGAGGCACCCGGGCGCCTCAGGGGCCATCCTGGGGCTACAGTGAGGCTATCTTCGGGGCCTCCTGCGCCGTTTGAGGGTTTCTTGGCGTCTCGTTGACCATCTCCGAGGCCTCCGAAGCCCATCGTGGGACCGTTTTGAGTCTATACGTTGGGACAGCCAAGACATCTACAGAAGTCTGCGGGCTTAACGATCCTTTCCTTTATGGGTCATGTCGTGGGGCCTTCTCTGGAGCCTCTCTGAGGTCCTCGAGGCCAGACGATGGCCAGCGTGGAGGCCATCGTGGTCTGTCTCAATCCAGAAATCCATGCTCAGCGGTCTGGAGACCAAAAAGAGGCATGTCGAGGCTCTGCAGGTCCTAGCGAGCAATTTGGGAGGGGTCATCAAAGGCGGGCAGGGCCTTGCTGAGCTCCCGGGCCATCCCCCCCTGCCACCCCAGGCTCGCCCCCTTCCATCCGATTTTGGACATCTGGGGAGGGAGCATGGGGGAGCGAGACAGCCAATCATCTCACACGCCTTCTCACTCCTGGCAAGTAGGGGTCGGTGTGTTATGTCCCGACCGAGAAATTGGATGAGATGTTCAAGCTTCCGCGTAAGGTCAACCTGAAGGTCGGGGCGCAGGTTGTCCTCCTCAGGAACTCTTCCCAGACCCTCGTGAACGGCTCGCGCGGAGTGGTGGTCTCACTGAATCCAGATCCAGAGGTGCGGTTCTTGTCGGGCGAGACCAAGGTCGTCGGCCAGGAGAAGGAAGAGTTTGACGTCATGGGCCCTGGGGGCGTCAGACAGGCGATGCGACTCCAGGTGCCCCTCCGGCTCAGTTGGGCGATGACCATCCACAAGTCGCAGGGCATGAGCATCGATCTCCTCGAGGTGGATCTCCGCGAAGTCTTCGAGGCGGGCCAGGCGTACGTGGCGCTGTCGCGGGCCCGCACCCTTGAGGGCCTCCGGGTGCTGGGCTACAACCCGAGCAAGTTCTGGACGAACCCCAGGGTGATCGAGTTCTACCGCACGAGGGTGCTGCCGGCGTGAGTGCTCTGACCTACGGCCGCGCTCGGTTGCCGACGGGGCTCAGCTGGCACGGAGGGGCGGGGGGTGCACCTCCAGACTTTTTTTGTCCGCGACGCGGGCCCGCTGAGCTCTCGACTCCGTCCCCGCTGCCGGGTCTTTGTCGCGGGTTGTGTTTGGGTCGCCCTGGGGCCCGAAACGGCCCCCTGGAGGCCCAACACTTCAGCAACACCAAGTCGTCGTGTTGTTTTCATGATGCCTGGAGTTCCTTGTCCTGGGCCTTAAAGTCGACTCCTGTGCCCGTCCTGGGGAGCGCTCCGATCAGAACATCGAGTCGGACCCAGCCGTGGCGACGAGGGTGCACGAGGAGGCCGAAACAAGGCGAAAGAACTCGAACCTCGATCTTCGAGGCATCGGGAGGGGGCAATGCATCCGCCATCACTTGGTCTCTCGTGTGTCTCCCAGTTTCGGCTGGCTCTCTTCCTCTCCCTCTCTCTCTCTCTCTCCCTCCCCCTGTTTCTATATCTTTCTCTGTCTCCGTCTCTCTCTCTCTCTCCTTCTCTCTCTATATATATATGTATACATGTATCGCATTATCTATCTTCCTCTTTCATACCGAGGCATACGGCTGGAAACTTTTGGTTAGCGTGTCGCTCCGCCGGTTCTGGCCCACCACGCCCCGGCGCGACACGCTATCCACTTCGCCTTCCCAAGGCATCGACGCGCCGAGCTTTTCCCAGCCCCCTGACCCGCAAAACGTAGCGGCACGCTATCCGTTTGCAGAGCATGGCGCGTCGCCAGGGTATGTGGTGCAGCATATGTGGTGCCATCTATTCAGGAGGGAAAACACACAATTAATCGTCGATTCCCCAGAAGATATGGGAAGTGGGGGGGAAGACAAAAACCCAGAAAATATGGAACATATGGGGCATATTTTTTTGTTTGTATTTATTTGTGTGTCCCAGGGCCCCTTCATCTATGTGGTGCAATTGTTTTCTGTTCGCAGTGGGTTGTCCACTCCACTGCTCGCAATTATTTCGCCCACCCACCCGCAAGTTTGTTTGCAGAACCCATGCGGCGGCGATTGCGATGAGTGCCTGGAGTTGGCTGGTGCATCTCTGCGGCCGCGCTGGCCCGCGCATGCTCGCGCGCGCAGCGGCCAGATAGTTTGGCGCGACCGACGCGGCCGCGGTGGCGTTGACCGCTGGGCAATTCCAGCGGGCAGTTCAGTGCGAGTCGGCGATTCGGGCGGGCACGGTATCATGGCAACGTCGGCAACAGTAGACGCGATGATGATGGTCGCGATGCTGGTGGCGATGCTGACAACGACGACGGCAAGGCCAATGACGTCGCCGATGCTGATCACGCCGACGACGATGGCGGCGCTCTCGCGTCGGAGATGCGCGCGCAGCCGACATGCGCGTGCAACCGACGCACGAGAGTGGCCCACACGGCATTATTTGGCAGGGATCGTGCCCCCCCGCACGCATGCAAAGGGTGTTCGAATGAGTTCAACATGCGGCGCGAGGGGCCTGTTTGTCCTACATTCGCATGAAGTGGAGGGCTTGGTGGCGCAAGGGCTGCGGGCATCCTATCAACGACGATGCCGCCCCCGCTGACCTCTTCGCCGAGGCTCTCGGGCAGTTCGTCGATACCATTCCTGCTGACGTCCTCGGCATCGCTCCGTCACCTGCACAGTCCCACGCCAGTTCTCCTGCTCCTGGCGGCGGGGCCGCATCCTCGCGCAAACGGCCCGCCTCCCGCCTCGTGGGAGGCTTGGGGGCGGCTGCCTCGAGGCTTCGTCTCGCCGCCCTCGTGGCTCTCGGGCTTTTGCACCAGTTTTTGGTTTCTGTGCTTTGCGCATTTTCTTGCTTTCGGCTTGTGGCGGGCTCTGCACTTTGCTGGCTTCGCTGAGCCGTTGACCTTGTCCATCACGCTCGCCGTTTGGGCAGGTCCCTCTGTCAGCGTGCTCCTTTCCTGCCTTCCACGTTCAGATGGCTGATGCTGTTCTCCGTATCTCATGCTTCCGTGCGGGCACCGTCCACGGTATTGCGTGTACCGTCCCCGATATCCACGCCCGGATGGCGTCCACATCTTCAGTGAGATTTGAGGGCCTGGCCGCCGCGCGCACTGTCTGTACGCTTTCTCCGCCTCGTCGCCGCGCGCGAGGCCGCCATCGCCACAAGTGTGTGTGTGTGTACCTGTGTGTGTGTGTGTTACAAAGGTGCCCCCGTTTAGTCAGCTCTCCCGCCAGCGCAGTTGCTCTGCCTAACCGCAGACGCAAAAAGTGTGTGTGTGTGTGTTGTGTGTGTGTGTGTGTGTGTGTGTGTGTGTGTGTGTGTGTGTGTGTGTGCGTGCGTGCGTGCGTGCGTGCGTGCGTGCGTGCGTGCGTGCGTGCGTGCGTGTGTGTTTGTGTGTGTACATGTGCGTGCACATGAGGCTCGATCGTGCCCAGTCTTATACATTTCGGGCAGGGGGATGCGAGCAAGGACGAACGATGCAGCAACCCATACGGGGCGTACATTGCCATTCAGTCACTGTGTCTTCTTGGAGAGCGCTAAGCAACTACATTGGGCGTCAAGCAACTGCCTAGACCATCTGGACCACGCATTGGTTGGCAACGCGAAGGTTAAATATCATGGCCGCGCAGCACAGCGGCTGAACTGCAGTTCGCACTTGAACTCGTTTACCATATGTATGTGTAAAGTGATTGAACACCATAGTGCTGTCAACAGCTCGGTCATGCTGAATGCACTTTCATTGTCAGTTTTGGCCGTGACCTCGCGATCTGTGTGAGGGGTGCATCGGCTTTTTCATTTTGTTGGAAAGTCTCCCACGCGAAGCGGCCAAGCACATTTTCATGGGATGCCAGGGATCAGCTCTGAGTTTTTACTCCCTCGCGGAGGTGCGTGTGATCCCCCCCATCTCCCTCTCTCCCTCTCTACGCCTGTTTCGTACCAGCAGTCTGTCTTGAGGCCTTCCTGCAAATGACAGGGGGCCCTGCGGAGCCGTTGGGGACCACGGCCGTAGGCAGGGATAGCATAGCGCAGGGTTTCGGACGATGTTGTTTGTGACCACGCATGTGGCTCGGCTTTCATATGTGCTTCGATTGGAAAGCCACACCAAAATCAAAGACACATCCTGCCATCTCCCCTCTCCTCTCTGGCGGAACCTGACGGGCGGGGCGGGGCGGGCGGACCTTAACGGGCGGGTCGGGCAGGCGGGACATTGAAGTGCGGGGCATAATCTAGTAGGCTCACCGTTCGGGCGGACGGGTCGGGTTGGGCGGGCGGAGTTTAACGGGCGGATCGGGCAGGCTAGGCCCAAATGGGCGGGTATGGCGGGCGAAGCGAAGCGGACGATGGGAACCGGGTTGCGAAGCGACCCCGGGCGAAGCGAACCGGGCGAAACGAACCCCCGCGAGGCGCGTACCCCGTGCGGAGCGAACCCGACCCGGGCGAACCGCATCGGGCGAAGCAAACCCAGGCGAAGGGCACCCTGGGCGAAGCGAGCCTACGAGCTCCTCCCAGCCGACGATCTGATTTTTGCCACAGCGCGCTCCTAGAGGTCCTGGGCCACTGCCTGGGGCCGGTCTCTCGCCCCAGATCCGTTTCTGACGGTCCCGGGGCCCGATTGCTGGCCCCATGCCAGGGCCGGCAGCGAGGACACCCGCCGGGGCTCAGCCGATCGCCTCGTCGGAGACCTGGGCCCGCGCACGCTCCCGCCCCCGAGGAGGTCCAGGAGCGCCAGGAGGCGGGGCGGCGCCTCTGGGCCCGCCGCCGAGGCGGCCGGGCCGGCAGCGGAGGCGCCGGCCGAGGGGAGGCCGGCGGCCCCCGCCAGCCGCAGAGGAGCGAGGAGGGGAGGGAGGGAGGGAGGGAGGGAGGGGAGGGAGGGAGGGAGGGAGGGA